GGTAATTAATATCATTTGTAAAGGCATATATACTGGGTATCTATGTCAGGGACATAGTCTTACTATATGTCCAATGATGTAATCAGTTCACTTTGTTTTGTTCTCCTAGCATATTAGTAATTTCTTTCAAAAAGTGTTGATCACTACATGATTCAAGAGCCTAATAAAGTTTCTTGAGCCTCTAGAACTGATATTCATTGTTTGAACCATATTGATAGATAAGGAGAAAGCTCAACTGTATGTGTAGGTTATCTTTTCTCTACAACTGTAAGCTACAAATTTTTAGATGCTAAATTATTTGTTGAAAGAACTATACTAACATAAAACGATTTATTGTGTAAATTTGAACTATCAACAACGCATTAAAGATGAAGCTCTTCTGCATGTTGGGAGAACAAACAATGCACTGCACTATTTCTTTTACGAAGTGGTTTATGTTATATGGAAATTGGTTTATCACTTACTTTGTGTGCACAGACAGAAAAGCTAAACTTTGCATACTAGTTTAACACTGCTTGCTGTACTCTAGGATTTGATTCCTGTTCCTCTAACTTCAAACTAATTGAAATTTTGCAGCTTGCCGAGAAAGGATGCAGCATAAGTTTTTCTGAAATGACAGTGCAGAATAACAGTATAGAGATGAGAAAGGAATCAAAGGATATCACAGTTCAGCACCAGAATACTGATCTATTGTCAAGCCCAAGTTACACTAAGCTAGACCTTATTGATGCACGAGAAACATCAACAGATGTAGTAGAAGAACTTATAGTGGGGAGGGAACAAGAAAAAGGGAAAAATAATAACTTCTTTACTTGAGAGCTCATCAAAAAAGATTTCCATCCTTCCCATACATGGTATTGGAGGCATTGGCAAGACAACTTTTGCAAGATTGATTCATAATGATCCAAAGTTCAAATGTTACTCTAAAGCATGGGTCCATGTGTCACAAAGATTTGACTTGAATAAAATTCATGAGCCTATTATTTCACAACTATCTGAAAAAGAGAATCAGGCTAATGAAAGACATGTGGTACATAGTTCCCTCACAAAGCTACTTCCTGGTAAGAAGATTATAATTGTTTTAGATGACCTTTGGGAGGATAATCAGTTCCTGTTGATGGACTTGAAGGATATGCTATATCATGATGATAGCAATATAATTATTTTAGTAACAACACGAAGTGAGAGTGTTGCAGAGAGAATATGTACAAACCTTCAACCATACAAGATATTACCCTTGACGAACAATATGTGCTGGGATATAATTAAACAAACAAGTGGTTTTGAAGCTAGAGATGACAAAGAAAAGTTGAGAGGTATAGGACAGGAGATTGCTCAGAAGTGTGCTGGTGTGGCTTTAGCAGCTCAATCTCTAGGATTCACTTTGCGGGGCATGAATTTTGACCAATAAATGAAAGTGAAAGACAGTGATATATGGAAAGAACATATTTCAAAGGATATCTCTGTGCCAAATCATGTTGTTGCATCTTTGATGTTAAGTTATAGCTATATGGATCTATCTTTGAAGCAATGCTTTTACCTATTGTGCAACCTTCCCAAAAGGTTCTGGCAGAAGGAGGGGCAAAACTGCAGGCGAACATCTTTCTCTCTCCCAAACAACCGGAAATCTTATTCTATTAATATGCGGTGTAATCGAGGAGCTAAATACACGCTTGTAATAGTACTAGCGGTGCTCACCTGCAATTTCAAGCAAAAAATGGTGTCCGCTAGCAAAATTTGCCCAACATTTATCTCACTGACTTTATATGTTAAGTCTAAACTTACTAATTCTCTTTACAGAATCGTGAAGCAGGCGTACCTTGGATTCCATTAGTACCAGCTCCTCCGATGACGAACTAAATTTCTAAGCAGCCAACAGATGCATGGTGTGTAGCTACCGAGAGCAACAATTACCGGTGTAAAATAAGTTATGCACCCCATAGAATACTCGACTTAAACAAGTCTTGTACTATAATATATTAACCACCACCCGGCCATTGAACTATAATCCAGGCCAGCTAGCAATACAAAATGCTGGTCTATGCTTGCTCTTCTATATAATATATGCCAATCAAGGCAAGGCAAGCCTTGTCCAACTATAAAAAAAATGTTAATCTACGGTTGCTTTTGTACAATATGCTAATGAAGATAAAAACAAGCAGTCCTCTACCAGAACATCCGTATGTATGAAAACAACTCCACTGATGCAAAACAATGGTAAAAAAAGCATCACAAAAATGCATGTTACAAACACACACAGTTCTTACATTCCTGCCTCATCATATATTTGTATATAAACGTCACTTTACAGATCCTTTGAGCCACAACCCAGCAACTAGTAACTTTTAGTCGCAAGTCAGACAGCACGCTCTCAGTTTATTTAGAGCCACGGTACTGTTGCCAGACAAGCAGGTCCTCATCGGCCAAGCATCAATAATAAGCAGAATGAGGACGTCCTCGGTGCTTGCAAGCAGAAACAAAATAGTATAAAGAGGCGAGGAACACGGTGCCTGGACGGGGAGGTTTCGATAACCTGCAAGAAAAACCGTCGGCACGATGGCCGACGTCCACATTTCGGGCACGATGGCCCACACATCCACAATTCCGGCACGAAGGCCGTCAACACATAAACGGCGCGATGGCCGACAACCAGAACGGGACGGTTCGTATACCTTGGGCGTTGGCGGGACGTGCACGCGGAGAAGAAGACGCCAACAACGGGACGGGACGTGGCGACGGAGGCACCTCCTCCCCTTCTCCTCCTCGGCCTCCTACTCCTCTCCTCGCCGGCCTCCTCCTCCTCCTTCTTCCTCCTTCTCCTCCCCTTCCCCTTCTTCTTCTCCTTCTTCCTCCTCTTCCCCTTCCTCCTCCTTCTTCTTCCTCCTTCCTCCTCCTTCCTCCACCTACCTCCTCCTTCTCTGCTCCCTGACCAGCGGCAGAAGGAAAGGCTGGACGGGGCAGAAGGAAAGGCACGGACAGACGGACGGAAAGGCTGGACGGGGCCAGGGCCAGGGCTGGGAGCGCCAGGCGGCTTGCCTCGGGGCCGGCCGCAGGGGCCGGGGAGGGGGCGTGCCGGCAGGACGGGCCCCGACGCGCAGGGACAGGGGCGTGCCGGCGGGGCCTGCGGGGCCTGCAGGGGCGCGCGTTGCGGTGAATTTTGCACTCGGGGAAGCCAGCGACACTCGGGGAATTTTGCCTCTCCCGTAGTGTCTTGTTATTCGTCAACCCTCCAAAAACACGTGTTCGGTGAATCCCTAATTGGAGAGGATCGAAAGGGATTGAAGGAGGCGAAAGGGAGACCTTTAACTTGTAGGAAGTAAGATTTCTCAATCCCCTTAGATTGAGGATTAACCGAATGAATAAACCCTAAGGAGTTGGGTCAACGAGCTAATAGTACGTCTCAATGATGGCTAATAGAATGTTTTTGTTCGTGCCATGCAGCACAACCATAACTGCATATCACTGTTAGGCAAATGATTTTTAATATTGCGATAGATTGTGAAGATGTAGACTTTGTAGAGATGGCTTGTAACAGCCATCTTTTTTTGCAAAGAAGAGAGAGCTTTATTAATTACTCGGAGTTTAGGATACAATCTTGAGTTGTACAATTTGCTCAGCACAGGTCGGCACACTAAAACGCCAAATCGCTGAAGTGTAATTGCCACTGGAAATGCATTTCAAGTCAAACGTCCCTCGAGCAGTTGCCTTAAAGACAACCGCCTCTTGAAATGCTTTTGCAAAGGCTGTGTTAACTCAATAAATTCACTCAGGAGCTTCCTAGCGAGGTAAATCCAAATTTAATATAATTTTACCTATTGTATTAACAACTAATATTAATTTAAGAGCGTATAGGGATTTGTTAAATCTAAATCCAAATGAAAGAAGAAAATGTATCAGAGGTTACGTGACTCCATCTGTTTTCGAGTAATTGTTACAGTTAATATCACTATTGTTGCTACCACTGCCCACTCACATGTACAATGACCTTCAGAATCTTGATTGACAAATGAAAATGTATCACTAGATTTGATCTCGCATGGCACTTACATAAATATTATGCATTTGTGAAATATTTATAAACATGTTTTCCATAAGAAAACACACACCTTCTGTATTTGTAAAGAGAATTCCTCTATGCCCCCCAATGTTACCATGATATCCCATAACATTTCTAGTATTGCTTTAGCTTTTGGTTCTTTTCCAGATCACTGCTGTTAGCACAACTACCTCTCTCACATCGTCATTACTTAGGTGGTTGTCATATTTCTTTTTGAAAGTGACTATTTTTCCCTTGGTTATAGTGGGTCCAAACCGTTAATGTCAACAATCTAGTCTCCTCCGCCCTCCCCTGATGCTCCCCTCCCGACCTCCTCTTCCCTCGGCACCAGCTTCAACTGCTGGGTCCTCACCTTGATGGTGTACTCGCACCAGCTCATGATGAACCCTTTGGCACCCTATGTGACTCTAAGGATTGATTGATGGCTAGATGGAGGGTGCATAACCATGGGAACAAATATGACACAAGATTTTGCCTCGAGGTTTGATGGCTTGGCATGCCAGCCACCTATGTTCCCGTTGAGGCGTGCCCATGATCACCACCCTCCATATGCTCAAAGATCCTTGAAGATCATCTCCGATGTGAGCGCTTTCCTATGAGCCGGCTCAATCATGAGGTACACCACAAGCCTCGATTCTATTATCTTTGTGTTGCGCCCGGAGATAAGCACAAGAGCCCTCAACAAATCCTCCTTCAGAACACAGAACACAGGACACAAAAAACGTGTTTTCAGTGAAAACGAAGGTGGCATTTTTATTTATTCCATTCCAAGCACAGGACACAAAAAACCTGGCATTCGTCACACACTCTTCTACATCGATCCTTTCCCATTTTTTTTGTTCTTACCGTACGTCCTTTTTATTCACATGTACACACACCTGATGGAAAAAGCTCACCAGCCATGCTTGCATGCGCGCGGTCCGCGGATCGACGTTCTCAACTCCTACAACCAGATCGCGCCGGCGTTCCTGAGCATGGGCACGAGCTCGCCGGAGAGGTGCAGCGCCATGACCCTGTTTGTCCCGCCGACGAGGTTGCCGCCCACGAACACCGCTGGCACGGTGGGGGTGCCTCGCCCGGCGTCGGCGCCGAGCCTCCTGGCCAGCTCCCGCTGCATCTCCAGGCCCCGGGGGTCCCTGTCCAGATCGTGCACCGCCGCGTTCACGCCCAGGCTGCTCAGCAGCGACGTCACGACGTCGCCCATGCTGCAGTTGCTCGCCGTGAACACCACCACCAAGCGCCTCTCGACGCCAGCCTCGCCACGTGGTCCATTGCCATCCTCTGCTGCTTGTTTGCCTAGCTTGTCCGGACCAGAAGGTTCTAGAGGCTTCTAGGTCCCCTCTCCTTGGGTGCTGAGATGATTTCGAAGGTGGTGTGATTTCATGCTCTACTGGCCATGGGACGGCTTGCCTTTTATAGGCTGGAAAAAGGTGTTGGATTGTTGGTACGTACTAGTACCTACTTGCATTGGATTATACTCCGTATGTTATAGATAGAAGACAGAAGATTCTATTCTTGACAACTAACTGATAGCATTTTCTGCACATGTTATATTAAAATATGTGCAAATGGAACATATATATCTAGATTTGGTTCTTCTATATATAATAACTGAAAAATGATTCTTATGATCCATTGAAGGTTATAAGAATCCATGTGTGTGTTCAAGCATGAGGGCCCTGGGAACATTGGAATCTCTCTCTCTCTCTCTCTCTCCTCATGACTCACGAGTCGAGCACATACAAAATTTGCAATATTATATCAAGAAATCTGAAAAACCATAAGGATCTTTTCAGAAGTCATGACTCATGAGGATAGAGTTGTATAGATATATATATGGAGATTTTCTTCGGTCATAGTTTATAAGCAAAACAATCTCGAAGAATATTAACACTTGCACTTTCACGTTCGCGAAAAAAATAACACTTGCACTTGTATTTTCACATACTGACCAAGTACACACATTAAAGATGATACTAGTGATATATGTTTTTTTTGAGAGCAATACTAGTAATATATGGTTGACATGCTGAAAAGCAGTCAATTTTCTTATACTGTTGTTCGTAGTCTGAATTCTGAAACTTGTAATAACTAAAAAAAACTCTGGTGGAATAAGCTATTTCCTTGTATCTTATATCTAGTCATTGTTAAATGCTCTTCCGTTCTGTGAAAGTCTCGTTGTCTGAATGTTGTCCCTGCAGGTAAACTGAGAACTGAGAGTTGAGACTGCTGACTCTGACTGTAAACAAGTCCATACAGAAAGGTTTTCGAAAAAAAAAAGTCCATACAGAAAGAAAAGGTGCCGACGACAACACGGCGACGCTTCGTCACATGACAATATGACAGCAGGATCTGATTCCTCTGGCTAAGAGCAGGCACTCTGTATTGGAAGGATCAGGCTCCTGAATCCTGTTCTTCAGGTTCAGAATAGCATCTTCAGACAGAGAACCTACGGTCTCATTCAATCCCTCACACAAAGTCACTCTCTCTCTTCTTACCTTATCGGCAGTGGCAGAATCTGCCCCATTTGCTATGTGTCGTTCCTTTTGAATAGTTACACCATACTTGGTGAGTAAATCATTAGTCAAGACACTTGTCATAATTCTGCTCAACTTGCTGTATTTTGTTTTCTGAAGCTTTTTCACCACAGCATCATCTTTATCAGTTGCCTTGCCACAGTGCTGCACAGCCTTGCATTGCATATCAGGAAGGCCATGCTGTGTAACTGATGCTATGGAACAGTCGTCGTTGATATGCTGCAATGGTTCTTCTGATATTCTCATGTATGATGCAAACCCCCCAGGACAAGAAGATGACAATGGAGAATGTGGATAGACATGTATCCTTATCCTCAAGATCTACCCTGGCAGTGCTAACTATCTTAGAACTTTGCATCTTGAGATTCCTTCCTGAGCCTGATCAGTTGTTGGCTCCTCGTGTTTATGAAGGGCTACGTGTGTGCATTGATCTGCAAAAGCATATCTGAAACAAATGTAAAGGTGAGGTGCAACGGAGAGGGAAAAATTCTGGAAATATCTTACAAAGAGTCCCATGCTATATAATTTTATAACATGTAGCCAAACAAGGGGTGCCACCAAATATATCCACCACATAAGCGCATACAATGTTATAGATTACATATACAATTCTCACTTCATAAGCTGAGAGAAAATACACAAATTGTCAGGTAGTGAGTAAATACCAAATAAGGAGTACCATCAAATCATCCAATTAAAGCCTGTTACATTTCACACACATACATAAATCAATGAAGGTTTGCAAGGGCTGCATTCTTTGATCTGCAAAAGCAAATGGATACCTGAAATGAAGGTAAAGGTGAGGTGCAATGCTGTGAATTTTTTTTGGAAATATCTCAGGTGGCAACACTATGAGGGAATGACCAAACAAGGAGTACCATCTAATACTTGCATTACTTATTAATATATGGTATTATTTATATACACGAATTGAATTGTGCGGACATTCTTATGGAGCTTACATGTACAATTCTCACTTGAGAAAAGGGGGCACATTTAAAAGGTGAGCCTCTCCTTATCCTCTGGAGAGCTCTGGGAGCGCTCAGTATTTCATGAGCTGTACACAAAATGAAAATAAAAATACTGTACAGGGGTGTATTTCGTGGCAGACAAAGTCACATAGATTCTAGAGTTTCTGGTTCTTCTGGATATCTTGACAAGATGATGGATCCATCAACTTCACGTACGTAGCTGTATACTGAGTTGGCTGCACCAATCACAAACACTACAGGAAAACGCCTCTTTGCCGACTGCTTGCCCCGGTCGGCAAAGGCATAAACCCAGTCGGCAAAGGCTTTGCGAACGCAGCTCACGTGGCGGTCGGCAAAAAGCGTTCGGCAAAGCCTGGGTCGGCAAAGGCGGATTTGCCGACCGCCACGTGGCACACAATCGGCAAAGCCTTTGCCAATCGCCACGCCAGCCGATCGGCATAGCCACGTGCGCGCCGTCGATACTGACGGCGAGCTTTGCCGATCGGCCGTTCCTCGGCGATCGGCAAAGAATTTTTTTAAAAAATTGTTTAGCCGAACGTCGCCAAATTTCGGCGATCGGCAAAGAAAGAAAATATTTTTTTGAAATGTTCTTTTGCCGATCGCTTTGAGTTGCGCGGTCGGCAAAGGTTTGACCTCTTCTGCCGATCGCCTCCCATCTTGATCGGCAAAGACTCATCTGGGGTTTTGCCCGACTTTTTGCCGTTATAAGCAATCGACAAAATTTTTTTTTTTTGCTTTTGTTTTTACGTTTTCTCGCATCAAAACCCCGCAAAATCATAAATTATAATCCAATTTCACCAAGCTTATAGGTAGCACCATTTATATCACAATTTCATCACATTTGTCGCCAACATCACCACATATATCACAATAACGCACAACATCACATATATCTCACATATATGTCACAATAACAACCACACAAGTGCATTACAACCATCACATGAAGTCCAACACGTCCGAACACCACAAGTCGGCGTCCATCACACTGAAGTTCAACATAACAAGTCTAGGTCCATAACGAAGAAAAGAAATACATGACAACAACTTGACGATACGGTGGATACATGATAACGAGAATCGACAAATACCTAGCTCGTCATTGCCGTCCCGGTCTCGTCGTCGTCGCTCGCCCCAGAGCCCCGGGGTTTGCCCACGAAACCCCTTGGACCAAATCGAGGCGCTACAGCGTCTTTGCCACCCTCCGCGCACTGCGCCCGCCACGAATCACGTCGCGGAGGAGGGCCACGCGGAGGTGGATACGGTGGATAGGGTGCGGTGGTGGATACGACATCATCGATGGCCGGGACCTCCGAGACGGGTTCGAACCCGCCGCCATTGCCACTCGCATGTTAAACGCCAAGTGATGTCATTAGTATCTCTAAAGACGGACGCTGAAGTTAAAGCAAGAGTCAATATACTCACCGGGGTCCCTCCGAGAGCGAGCATGGAAAAAAACTACGGGAGGAGGCGGTGGAAGCGAACATTGGAAGAGGAGGCGGTGTAGACGCCCGAAGCGTCTGCATGGGCCGGAAGAAGCTGGCCATGTTACGCATCGAGTGTTGTAGTCTTCTTTGCGAGGCTTTGCTTTGAGTAAGCCATCTGTTGCGCCATCATCTGCGCGTGTAACGTGGCGATCCTCTCCTCCATCTTGGCCTCCATACGGGCTCGCAATATTACATCCACAGTGTTGATTGTATGTACAGTGCGAAAGCAGTGAGCAGCGAACGAAAACGGCACTTACATGGCCCGGCGACCGCCGCCGGGCGCCTACGGGATGTCGGCTGGGCTCGTGGGCGTGGATCGAACACAGGTCAGCGTGGGAACACGGGGACGGGTCGAGGGCGTGGGGCCATGTAGTAGCGGCCGTCTTTGCTTCCCCGTCCCAACCTCTCTGGAGGTGTCATGTCCGAGGGCTCGGCGGTGGGTCGAGCGTCTCCCGTGGCGCTCGCGAGCCGCGACGGTGTACTCGGTAGCCTTCTACGTAGGCGGTGGGGTTGGTGTGCGCGCCGGGCCCGTCCTCCGGGTTGTAGGCGTTGTTCGGATCCGTCGCCTTGCCCTTGTGAGAGAGGAGGTACGCGGTGTACTCGTTGATTTCCTGCCCACCGTGCGTGCTGCGTGCATTGAAAACACAAACATGGTTACAAGTATTGACAATTGGCGCAAGGATTAAGACATGAACGGATGCATACCCATCTTGTCATGAATCGGGGAGGGGCTGATTCCCTTGGTGGTGTGACACCCTCGCATCTCTGCAGCGGCGGCCACGACGGTCGGCGGCGCCTCGCGTACGCCTTCTCATCCGTGCGCCACATGCGCACAATCTCCGTCCGGCATTCCCATGGTTGTCGCACCACGACGGACACACACGCATGACATCAAGTATTTGACATGCGAGAAGATTAGTGTAATGTTTCACTTGAAGGAATCACGAGCGAATGTTGTCATACTTAATTACCTTTCGTGTGCGCTTGGGTGAGGTCGGCCTCCTCGAGTTCATTCTCTGGCGGTTGGGGCTTCTTGATGTTCTCTCCAAGCACGTTGGCGTGGAAGTCACGGATGGCTTGTATCGCGCCTCATGGTACAGGTCCTTGAGGCGATCTTTGCGGACCGCCTCCGCACACTCGCGCCGCTGGCCGCTTTACCCTCCTCGCGCGTGAAGAAGTCCTGCACAC